TGGGGGAAAGGGGGGGGGGGGGGGGGGGGGGGGGGGGGGTTTGAAACAGGCAAAAGCTAAAAAAGAGACCATGCTGTTGCATTCATGCTGTCTCTCTCACATTTTCCGTTATGTTTGTACAAAAAAGAAAAAACTCAAACATTTACTTTTCCATGGAAAATTGAAGGCTAACCTAAAGCCATATATTCCAAAACGAGAAAAACTATTCTTCATAGTGAAGGGCACGTGTATGGTTGATTGAAGTACAGTTTGATTATTTGTGGGAGATTCCAATATTTCATGGTCCCCCATCCCATACGACCAAACCCAAAGATAAAAATCCCTTTATTCTATTTAACAAACTTAGAAAGCAAAGTTTTGATTGAATAATTGCAATGCTCAAAAAGAAAAACAAAAGGTTTATGTTGAATTTTTGTTTATCATATTTATCACATGACAATTTTGTGTGTTTGGACAACAATTAACTCTAAATAACACACTTACCCGGAAAAAAAAAACTCTAAATAACAAAGAAAAACATCCAAAGAGTACTAATTGTGATTAAAAAAACAACACACCAATAGATCTTGGAGACAAAAACTTCGAACTCGCCCTTTTTGTTTGAAAAAATATTTAAATCTATATCGTGGAGTCCAACATCCTTTTTAATTGTAAAAAATTTTGATTAAAATGAGCAATCTCTTGCAAGTCATTGGCGAATCAAAAATTCATGTATGAAAAGGAAAAGAGTTTATTGGATCACTGGAATGCAACTACAAATACACCAAAGAGAGAGCGATCTCCATAACGAATGGACTATATATCAGAGGAAAAGGGCAGATAGTATTTTTCAATAATTCTTACAGTTATACAAAATCCATTATCTCAAGCATTTTCACTTGTTTTTATAGAAATACCAATCATATGGAGTAACATAATGTTTTTTGTACAATTTTAAAGGAAAGACCTTAAACTTGACTCAACATGAATTGCATTTACGTTGCCGAAATGTGCAGTACCAACTTACTATTAAAAAAAACAATTGTAAAACCCAACAAAGAAAATTAAAATTTGGGTCAATGTCAAGGACAGAGAAATCCGACAAAAATATCTCACTATTAGTGCTAATTTTATTGAGATTTCCATTTTAAAATTCAAAAATTAATAAATTCAGCAACCAAGGCTGCCCATTAAGACAATCAAGTGGTTTAGCAGACCAACGCTGTCAACTTTTCGAGTCCAACCGTGTCCGTATGCCGACCACTCTCTCTCCCGCTCAATATTCTATTCTGCTAACATGTTTTGACTCTTCGCAACTCTTATAAAGAGTGGCTTCCCAGCAATACCCAGCCTGAGGAACCTCATTCTTCTTTCCTGTTCGAATCCCAGAATCTCACTCCTCCACCGTATCTACCACCATCAGCACCACAAGCCAAAACAACGAGACAAACAAAAACATTTATAGCCAGAAACCCAAAAGAGATTAAACAGACCCCATCTTTTTCACTGCTCAAGAAACAAACAAATGAGAAAAACCAGAGGCTTCAGGCTTGGACGCAAGCTCGTAAAGGTATGCAACTGGTTCGTCCACAGAAGAACAAAACCCAGAAGCCATTACCGACGCTTGAACTCACCCAGCTGTACCACTAGAACCATATCAAAGCTCTGTAACTGGGTTCGTTCACTGAAACTTGGAGCCAAAGGTCTCTGTTTCTCAAAACCCAGTTCGGGTTACATTAGAGTCGACCAACAACCGTCTGAGACAAACCCAGTGAGTGTACCGCCGAAGGGACACTTGGCTGTGTACGTAGGAGAGAAAGAAAACGACGCTTGTAGATTTGTGGTGCCTGTGATATACTTTAATCACCCACTGTTTGCTGATTTGTTGAGGAAGGCAGAGAAGGTTTACGGGTTCGATCATTCGGGTGGGATCCAGATACCCTGTGGGATATCCGAATTTGAGAATGTTCAAACCCGGATAGCCGCCGCCGGCTGTAACCGCTGTAGACGGCTGACCTAGAGGAGTAGCAAGTGATGAGACGTGTTCAATAACAATTTGGACCGCTTGAAATGTCTCGTGAGGACCATTGCTAACAATTCTTAGCCTCTGGAATTTTTAGCTGTGCTACTCTTTTGTCCTTTTGTCCTTTTAATTTAGAGCTTTTAGGCTCAGGCTCCGTTTGATTAGAATGGAAAAGAAGTTAGAAAGCAAAAATGATAGAAAGTATTGGAATATGAGGTGAAAGAAAGAAAAATGAAAAAAATGAAAAAAATAAAAAAAATAAAAAAATTTTACATCTGTTTGATTATGATGAAAATTTTGCAAGAAAATTTAATTTTGTAATTTGAAAAATAAAAAAGTTACAAATTTGTTTTTTAAATTGTCAAAATTGATCTTATTTATAACTTTTTAAATTTGTTCTATCCATATAAAACACTATACTTAACATGTTCATACTCATATGAAACACATTAATATTAAACACGCTTACTATTATACTTTTTTTTTAAGAAAAGAGTATCTTTATTGATTAACAAAAAAGATTTTCAAAAAACAAATAGGATAAGCCACAATCCGCTTTAATCCTTCAACACAAACAAAACCAAAATTCTATCAAACATAAACCATGTTCTGTTATACCAATATAACATGCAAAGTTATTAAACCACTCTAAAATCCCAACACCAAAAAAAAATCCATACTAGAAAACTAAGTCCAATGAATTTATAATCATTTAATCAAAAATGCATGCACCATCACGACCACCTGACCTTCAATTTATACCACCGGCACCACCTTGTGCTAAGTGTCGAATTAAAAACAAATAGCGCATTTCTTCAGGATATATCAAAAATGTCCTCGCTTTGACCGGATCTGTATTCAAGTATTCAAAAGCGGTCATTCGACTATCAATACCAAGCGCTTCAACATCCATTACAACTTTGTAAAGGTCCGAATAATTTACGCAAGGTTTACTCTTTTCGTATGCATTAGCTAGTCTTGTCATGTTATTAGCAACTACATTTATTATTTCAACAACAATCTCTGTATTTTTGGCTTCTTTGAATGACGTGCTTTGAAGATCCAAGGTTGCTTTTGCTTGGTGTTGGTATCTGGGTAATATTATTGTCTTGTTGATGTCCAGATCCATTGCCTTCTATATCACCCAAGTCGTCAACTATCATATTCTCATTGTGATCAAAGACCGACGTTTACTCATCGTCACTAACATCCATTTGCCTTGACAAGTTAGCATTTATATCCTTACCTGAACATGTCCATTCTCTAGTTACTTGATCATTGCCACACACAATAGCTAATTCATCAATTATATCAATCCTCTTACCATGCAAACCTTTTGCATCTGGATTTGCCTATAAAAATATATCAAGCATATATGTTGACAAATTGTCATTTTATTTTGAAATGCAAAAAAGTAACTTTTAGACGTTACTATTATGTAAATGATACTTACAGCAATATATGTAGGCCAGACTTCATCACTACACTCCACAATTTTCGGCACTGGATTCCAAATAAATCCACTTTTGCTCAACATGTCTTTGTATGACTCTAAAAAACTTTTGATGGGTTATTAGATTACCTCTTGACAGCTCCTCCATAGAGTATTCTAGGGCTCCTACCACGAGCAAATTTACATGATGATTGGTTTTGAGAAAATCGATGATTAAAAAGGGGTACAAGAACAAGGTGGAGATAAATGGACTATGCAGCCTGTGTGATTCTTGAGGAGGATTGATTCGGCTGGTGACTAAAGAGGACAGAGAAGGAAGAGAGGGAAGAGAAGAAAGAAGAGAGATACTCGTGCGAGGAGTAAATTATTCCAGAATAAATTATAAACCAAACCCCAACTGTTTTATAAATTTGCACTGTGAACAATAGCTGCAGTGTCAAATTAGGCAGTGACTGCCTTGAGCAGTTTACCAATTATTTGCCTAAGTAGAGCTTGATACTGACTTTACTGTGCTTTTTTTTCCTTTCAACCAACTTTTCCTGGCTAGTGAGACTGTATAAATCGGCAAAAAGACTAGGCATAATATCTTCTCAAAGTAATGCTTGAATCTGATGAGTCTTCGCTAATGCACACTGTAAAGACTTTTCATGGTACAATCTGCAGGACAAAAAGGTGTTTCCCTCATGCACACTGTAAATTTGTGGAAGACATTGTTGGAACTCTGGCATTTTTGCCATTGATATATCCTTATGAGCTGTGGCGTTTTAAGCATGATCGGCATCACGCAAGAACAAACATGTAGCTGTCATATTCCTCTTTGATTGATATTAGATTCTGCTATGATTTTTTATACATCACGGGTGATTATTGACCATTATCTTCAAAGATTTGGTGTTAGACAATATGTATGAGATTTAATTGGGTTTTAATAATTGTTCATTTTAGTTTAAATAATTTATCAAACACCTTATACCCATATGTACAAGGACTCTCCTCTAACGTAGGTGGATTTCTTGATCGCTTTAATTTGTGCGCAATCCTATGGCATATTACTCATTTCTTTTCCATTGTTGTGCTATTGTCAACCTCAAATGGAAGTAACGAGCAAAGCAGGGAAGCTTGTTTGGAGCCGATCTCTTCTATTACATCACAAATTCATACTAAAATAAAACACTTAAACTCAGCAACCAACATAAAGATATGCAGATAAACAAAAGATGGAAGACAAAACAGAGAAGATGTGCAGAGAAAAGCTGTGAGTGGTTAAAATCTTGATACTTGCGATATATATCAATTTTATTACACAAAATAAAATAGAGATGGAAGATAAACTTACTGGATTGGTTTGAGAAGATGTGCAGAGACACAAGGTGAAGGTGAAAGTGATTAATATGAGAGAGTTGTATATGAAGATGAAAATTGGATGAATTATCGTCTGCCAAAATAGGGGGCAGAATGGTCCAGTGGATAGAACATTCCCAAGTTTCACGGGAAACAAAAAAAATTTCGTGCAAATTTGGTGGGAAAATAAATGGCTCCGTTTGTGGGAAAATCTATTCAGCGAGAAAAAAAAAATTCCCGAAAAATTTGGTTTCTTGTTAAACAAATACAATAAAAACTTTTTTTTTTTTTTCTCTTTCCCCCATTTTCCAACTCTCCGACTAACCAAACGAAGCCTTAGCAAAAAAAAATGTTCGGTGCAGAAAATTTAGTTGTACAAATTTCTATCGCCAAAATAGAAGATTTTTCTCTTTCTCTTTTTTTTTTTTGGGTAAGTAAAAGATTTTTCTGTTTACAGTATTGCCCATATTTTCATAGTATTACCAAAAATGGGAGTTTGCAAGAAAATTTGACAGTTGCGGGAAAAAAAAAATTTCCCGAGAGATCGTAATTTCTTGCAAATCAAACACATGGAATGTTGAATTGGTTTCATTTTCATGCATTTTCTCGTAAACGCTGCCCAAAGTACTTAATCGATAAAAATGCACATTTGATTTCCTTTTATTTTGAGTCCAACTAATGTTACTTGAATTGTGAATCGTTTTGGTATATGATACAAGTACATAGTACAGAAACAGGTACATGATACGACACTTTTTTAGGTACGCGATATGATGAAAATAGACTTAGATAATACAGTATTTTGGATCTTTTTCACAACTATACAACATTATATATTACAGAACATCCATAAATAGTAAGTCAATTAACATCTATAAATAGTAAGTCAATTATTATTTATCTTATCATTGTGCTTGATTTTCTATTAATTAAAAAAATATATAATTATAAATTCATATACATGTAGTCAATTAATATATATTTTATATTCGTGTTATAAATTCTAAAGTGAATTGATTTAAAGTTAATATTACAATTTAGGATCATTCATTTTGCTGATCTGAATTGTGAACACATCCCATTTGGAATGATGACCCTTAATTAGATATATTACAATTTTAATTAAGGGTCATCACTTCATCAAATTTTAGAAAACTTACAGCTCAAAAGAAAAGTGAAAATTGTTTTTTGGTTTTTCTTGGGTGGATATTTTTTTTTTGTTCAACATTCGGTAGTGTTCGAATTAATTTACACTCACCTCGACTAATTTTCTTTTCAATCCGGTCAAAAATAAATTATTCACGTCAGGATTAAGACATTCATAAATTCCTCGTAACTTGACCCTAAAAAGTGGTTAAAATTTAAATTCAAAACATTTAAATTTACATCTCGTATCTATTATCACTTAAGAAATTATTTTTTTTTAGCACATATGCTTAAAGACAGGATGACGTTTTTTGTTTCAACTCTATGGAGCCTCTCTCGTTCCTCAACTAATCATTTGTCCACTGTTTTGAAAAACATCCAGTGCTTTCCTGTTAATGTCAAGGCTTTAGAACTCACCATTGTCCTCTCCTCGACCTAATTTACTAACATAATTGATCACAATCATTAAATAACAAGTCCCAAAATATAATAAGACCCACTATCAATTAGCTAACAAATTAAACTCAAGGCGTCATAGCTCTCTGCAAAACCAGAAATGCAAACACATATAGTAGACACTAAAGGTCTGTTTGGTAAGTAAATTTATGAGAATTTTAGAACAGGAGTTGAAAAAACAAACCCCCTCAAACCCATATTTCACAAATACACATGTAGTCTAGGATTTGAATCCCGGCCCCAGTTTAAACTCAATCATAAAAACTAGGAGGAGGAGGAGTGAATGTCATATGTGGATTAGTGGGTTTAACATGTAAATAACATTTATACCCTCGTATATATATCTTATATATCTCATATATATAAATTGGTTAAGGGACACAATAGTTATTTATATACAAATATATTATAATAATAGTCATATATTCATGTACATATTAAATATAGATATGAACAACATTAAATATTGAATTTCATCTTTAGGTTTAGAAGGATTTGGACAATTCAATCCAAACTCTTCCCAAAAAACATACCAAACAGTCCCAAATTGAACATCCACGACACCGAGCCAATGCACAATATGCAAACGCGATAGGACCACCACAACCACAACCACATGTTGCATGAACAATTACACCCCAGTAGTATCGTATGCATATATTTTATCAACTATTAACGACCGAAAATACTTTCACAGCAGGGGAGGGGGGGACACCAACAAACATACTTGATGAAACAGAGGGGTACTATGGCAACAAAGATGCCCACCAGATCTGAAAGTATCAGTGTTTTATTACATCATTACATACTAGTCATATACAATAGGTTTAGGGTGTACTACACAATCAAGCACTATAACCTCGGCTTGAAGGGTTCCACAACCCCGAGTTATGCTCATGACATGCAGCCAAACAAGCTTCCTCCATAGCTGACTGCGAGATCCCATTGTTACAAATGTTGGCAAACTCTCGCATGTGTTTCATGCCGTACTGGGTCAATGATCCACAATGGGTTTCGAACAACCGGACCTGTGAATTCAAATCCAAAATTGTTTTAAGTTGTCATCACAACTAGCAATTAAAGGGAATATTAAGTAGACAAAACAAATGATTGTCATTACCATTGATTTGAGACATCCCCAATCATCAACAATGGGCAAACTCTGTGCTCTCACAAAATTAAGAATGGCAGGCCCCTTTTCGGGTCCAAACAGAAATACGCCAATCTTATTCATGCTTCCATCCAAGTGTATTCTGTGCGTCATCGAATCTGTGATTTCCTTGAGAATTTCTGTCTTCTTTTTTGAGCCATCTTTTGTTTTCTTGTACTGTAAGACACATGTTAAGCATGTATGAAATAAGTGCGAGCATGCGAAATATTTAAGTTCTCTTGGATTCCACTTCAATAGCACGATGATGAATAACAAGAAAACAGCTGAATTTCATAATACTTTACAATCTTACACTAATTGATCAAAAGAATGAGACTAACACCCTCGGTCAGCACAAGGTAAAATGCAGCNTTCATAATACTTTACAATCTTACACTAATTGATCAAAAGAATGAGACTAACACCCTTGGCCAGCACAAGGAAATGGTTTCCAGGTAAAGTAGAAGAAAATTTGAACTTGTTTGGATCACTCGAAAAAGAGAATGCAAAAGTTGGGCATATGATTGAACATGCTGACAACATAAAAAGCTCGATAGGTTTCTGATTTCCAATTCTAGTGTTTGATTGTGCCAAGGTCTTATGCACCCCTAAGCGGGGCCGGCCAGTACAAGGGGCCCCATATTGTTAAGTTATGGTCCTTATGCAGCATCTAGCACAAAACAATTTTTTTTTTTACTTTTTAGATTACGACCTAAAACTTACTACTATATTATAAAAGGGTCTAAAATAGAAAATAATCTCTCTCCCACCTAGTCACATTCATAAATACCATCTTCTCTTCCCCTCAATACTTACCAATGCCAAATCACATACACAACTAAAGCCCTACAACACTCACTCTCCCCCCCCCCCTCTCTCCCTCCCTCTCTCATCATAGCTACAAAAACTAAAAAAAAAAAAAAATTCATTTCTTCACTCTCCTTTTCAATATTTTAAATATGCACAAATTTTTATTATATGAAAAAAAAATCACTCCTCTTTTTCCACAATCAATATATGCACAATTTTTTTCTTCTTTTACCTTGATATTAGATTGGGAAAATATTGAATTAATTTTAATTACCATTTGTTTTCTTTTTATTATATTATATTTATAACTCATTTAAAAGTATCCCAGGGCCCTAATATCTACCGGTCCTGCCTCTAAGGTGAGCTTGCAAGCATCGCATAAAGAAATAAAATGTCAAAGCTCACCCTTTGCCAAAGGAAGAGAATATCTGCATCCCTCTGATTAATAACTTCCATTTGTGTGTCGAAATGAAACTTGTTTGGAGGGAAATTCTCCGTAGCGGGATCAAAACCATGATACTGATACACTTTCTCCAATTTAATGCTCTTGTTCCCATATTCCATCACATGAGATCCGGCATTGTAAGTGTTATAATTTGAAGTTCTCAACTTGACCTACACAAAGTTGCAACACACTTGATGATTTTTAATACAAGAGAAAAATATGAACATTTCAGAAAAAAGGCGTCAAGATTTTCTAAACCTAACCTTCTGGTACTGTTGGTTTAATGTTTCTTTCTTCAAGTTGTGTGTTTCACTACAAGCAAACACCAAAGAGTTAGCAAGCAATATCAGACACCATTAAAAATAAGAAAACCAATGTTTGAAAGTGCATATGATTTGTAATAGTAATCACGAAGAGAATCATTTTAGCAATGAAGAAATGTGTACCAATTATGCCTTAAAATATTTGAAATCCTAAGTAATAGTTGAAGCGATTGTTGTCTGTGAATGCATTTGAAAAAAAATATGTTGGTACAACCTAGGGAATCTTACGAGAAGTGGGAAACTACGGTGTCAAATTTATATTTTAAGTTGAACAAATGAAAAAACCATGCACACAACACCCACAAAACATTGTTTTTCTTTCTAAAGATGCAACTAAACATACCTGTCTTCCATCCATGCAACACTATACAAATCCCCTAAGCAAGTAATGTACTCTGGAGGTGGTGGAGGTTCCATTCCAGGACAATATGTTCCCCAGCTACTCTCTACTGCATTTGATGCTGTTGTGACGTAAATGTTTAAATTTTCAGGCATCAAACCTTGAAAAACACTTCCGCTCTCACATGCTTCTATATACATAACCTACATAACCATGACATAATGTTAATTTTGTCATGTAATATGCTCAAAACTGAGAAAATTGAAAATAGAAATTACCATCTCTTTGTAGGTGCCAGATGCATGTTTCTTTTTCAAAACATCTATGAAATCCTTAGCATAAAGAAAAGGCATATTCGGCATCCCTACACCAAATTGGAAATTTTGTTAATCGCCAAATACTTCTCCTATGTTAGTTTTATTTCACATAAATTCACTCACCAAGCACTCCAGGGCCCCCATGATCAGAGTAGTACAAAAAGATCCTGTCATTAGGTTTGCTATCAACAACTTTTCCACTACCGCCTTTCACAGCACTCTTATCACCAAGGAGTACAGCATATAGATTCTCAGCGGTGACATGCTCGCCGGTGTAATCCTACAATGATAATACCATCAATGTGATTAACTAGAGGTATGAACCGCAAATCATGTCGTCAATTGGCTAAGCAATTTTGACATGACATGAACCTAACATGGCTCATTGCCAAAGCATCTTGCTTGGTCAACTTTGGCCAAATGATAGGATGATAAAACCAACTCACCACATTAGACTCTTTATACATCCATCCAGATTAACAACAGNGCTTGGTCAACTTTGGCCAAATGATAGGATGATAAAACCAACTCACCACATTAGACTCTTTATACATCCATCCAGATTAACAACAGTAGATGACAATTAAGATGTTAATAAAAAAATGATAATACTGTTTATGTGAATGGGTACCCACAAGATGTAATGTACCTTAGGCACACCGGCATATACATCACCACCTTTTGGATGATTGANAGTAGATGACAATTAAGATGTTAATAAAAAAATGATAATACTGTTTATGTGAATGGCTACCCACAAGATGTAATGTACCTTAGGCACACCGGCATATACATCACCACCTTTTGGATGATTGATTATAACACCGCGCCTCGGGTTCAAATCATTCATAGCAATGTCATCGTGCATGAACACAACTATGTTCTTTTCTTTCAACCCTCCTCTCTTCAATATTTGATACGCATGACAAACATCCGCCTGTATTTCACCCAAAATTAGCTTCAACTCGAAAGCCACATAAACATCCACATAACAGATTCAGTTGATATAGATGTTGAATTGTTTTTTTCATGCCTAGTCTAAAAAAGATAGAACGAGGAACTAGTATAACAAAAAAGTCAAACAAAATTTCAAGGGATAGTTCAAGGGATAATATGACAACGAATGAATCTAGATATTTTAAGATCAAATTTTGGCAACCCCTTGAAGCCGGACAGTGAGAATTTCTCCCTCATAGATACCCTAGTCTCGACGTGAATATTCTATTTTTGACTATACCGGAGAGGTGATTTATATGGATGCGCATAAGCTGACTTGAATATGAGTATTCGTTGAAACAAAAAAAGTTTAAAGTCAAACAAAATATAATTGCTATATTGACAAATTAAAAAAAAAAAANTCGAAAGCCACATAAACATCCACATAACAGATTCAGTTGATATAGATGTTGAATTGGTTTTTTCATGCCTAGTCTAAAAAAGATAGAACGAGGAACTAGTATAACAAAAAAGTCAAACAGAATTTCAAGGATAGTTCAAGGGATAACATGACGACCAATGAATCTAGATATTTTAAGATCAAATGTTGGCAACCCCTTGAAGCCGGACAATGAGAATTTCTCCCTCATAGATACCCTAGTCTCAGCGTGAATATTCTATTTTTGACTAAACCGGAGAGGTGATTTATATGGATGCGCATAAGCTGACTTGAATATGAGTATTCATTGAAACAAAAAAAGTTTAAAGTCAAACAAAATATAATTGCTATATTAACAAATTAAAAAAAAAAAAAGTTGTTTCTTGTAATTTCCGGTACAGAAACACAATTTATTATGAGAGGTTTATAGATCACTTCAACCAAATAGTAAACAATTATGTTCATTTTCTTTTGGATAAACTAATTTTTATTAACAATTAATTAAAATGCTATAACGAAAATACTTTAAAAAAATATCCCAAAAAATCTCAGAAGATAGAATTAAGCCTCAACGGAAGAATAGTTATTTTACTACCAATCACGAGTTTTATGTTGAGCGTAGTATTCATATTGAAAATTATAATTGAGAATTTCTTTATCAACCCCCATCTCTCGGAAACATTTTGTGAAGGAACCTTACTATATTAAGAATTCTTGTCAAACATTTTTAATGAAAAATATTGCTCCAACTAAAACACAGTAAATTAATATAGAGTAGTAATGTTGTTGATGGAATTTACTTCACCTGATGCCGGTAATTTCCGAATCCAGATGAGCCGGCGACTAGAACGGCCCATCTTGTGCCTTTCTCTTCCGCTTCATGGTCCTCCACAGGGGTCTTGATTAACAGATCCCACCGGTTAAGCCAACCAGCTCGACCTCCTCTCAAAGCTTCCAAAGGCAGTGTCACCATTAGAAGCAGAGCCAAGGTCAAGTGAAACAAACCACCGTTGACCGCCATTTAGAGCAAACGGGCCACAAAATACCGGCCACCCGAGCGGGGACTAATAACCAGAGAGAAACAGATGGAGAGAGAGAGGTTAAAGCAGCTGCTAAGAAAGATGCAAGATGATGTATAAAGCGGTGCAAGGTGCCATGCAAAACTAGAGGGTGACACCTATGAGAGAGGATAGAAATGGTGGGCTCCAGAGTCATCGTTGTTTTGTTCTTGTGACGTTGGATTGGTGACAGGGCTAATAACTGAGTTAAATTTTATGAATTTTAGCCTGAGTTTATCAAGTTTATTTGTCTAAACGAGTATAAAAATTATTTAAATTTAATTCAATTAAAAAAATGAACTCGTTTAATAAACGGTCGAACTAAACTCGAATAACTTAGACTTGATTATCAGTGCTGGTTGGTGAGGAGAAGATTATCATTCCAGTTGGGTATATGTTGGCTTGCCTTCATTTTTCTCTCCTGAATTTCTTTCTTTTTCTGTTGTTTGCAAAACGTTGTGCAAGAAAAATCAGGCTTTTGGCTTTTTAATGCACCAGAAAAGAAAGTGAATTCAATGTATCAGTGGGATTTGAGGTCAGAGGCTTAATAAAAAGACGACTAACGTGCACAAGAGAAATGCTATTTGAATCTTATTTTGGAATTGGTTGTGAACTTCACCTAACGTTGGAACTCACAATTAATCCAACGTGACATTAAAACCACATCATTAAATCTCTAAATAAAGTCCCTATGACATAGCTCGCAAATTATAGGGACAACTTTCTGCAATTAGCATCATCAAAAAGAATCAATTAAAGTTGATTCAAGTTAAATTTATGTCATATTGTGTCTACTCTATATTATAACGAAATTTACTTAATTCATATTGAACTCATTTACAATCATGGTAGTTAAATTTAAGTGGTGTATCAATCATCTTCAACAAATTCATATCCTATTTATCTAAATTCGTATTGCCCCATTCACCATTCTAAAGCCACTAAAACTATATTCAAACTGGAAAATTTTGTACCAATTTCGTGTAGAGTTCATGTTAGGGAAGACTATGGTAAGAGAACTTCATTTGGTTGTATCAAAGTCAGGAAATCCGGGTGTAACCGTGTAATGCTGCCCAAAGATTAAAAGAAGAGGAGTGGCTTTACATGCATAGTTCTCAATCTACTCTGTTCATTGTCTCTCTCCTCCATGCGGTCAAATTTCTCCACTACTTTTGATTACTTATGGCTCTCATACGAGAACGCTTCAGTGGCAGAGCATTAGAAGTAACCTGTCAGATGGAAGAAAAAATGCACACCAGTACTACAACAAATAAGTTGCATGTTGTTCATCGGTGAATTCCATATTCAGCTGAAATCACTGCATCGAACTTTGAAGTACCATGTTAAAGAAGATCCAGGAAAGGCCTGTGATTTTGCCCCTCTGAACCATATTTTAAGGTCGTTTCCACCTCACAAAGGCTAAAGCTCAGAGAGCTAGAAACAGATATTGCAATAATCGGATCCCGCACTCCCCCAACACCAATGACCAACATGAGAATACCTCCAGACACCACTCGTACAACACCGTACGACTGAACGAGCCAGAAAAAGAGGACCAAGTATTCGTGGCTCGCTGGAGAACAGAATGGGTCCATCAATGCTCACAATCTAATATCAGCCAAGCTTTAAGTATCAAGCAAACTGAAGTCTTGATCATTCATCTCAAACCACCCCTAATACATGAAGAACAGAGAACAAAGAAAGAAAGAAAAGGGGGAGGGGGCAGAGAGAGATGGGAGTCTATTAAAGCAGGATGTCAAAATTATCAACAACAGTTCTGTATAAACTGATCCATTGACATGCACACTGGGAAGGACAAAAAATGAATGCTGATGCTTTTCTTCATGGGACTCCCGTATCCTATCAATTCACCTCATCTGCACAATCCCTGAACTAATCAGTTTCTGAATCTTGTTCATCACTCTAGGGTTTTTCATGTGCTCCTGTGCAGCTTTAGGATTCTCCTGGAGATCAACCAGCACCTGGGACAACCAAAATCAAATAAGCCGAGCCAATTTTTAGGACTGAAAATAAGTAATCATGGAAACAGGACTTTTGAGGTTCGGTAACACCATACCTGTCTCATAACGGGGTCCGTAAGTATGTTCTGAATTTCTGGGTCCTGCATTGCCTTAGCCTGCAAGATTTGAGGGGAAGTACAATCATACCTCACATTTTTATTTCAACCAAACAGACCCAACAAAAGTGTATAGTATCCAAACCTGTCTCTCCTTCAGTTCCTCGGGGCTTAAATCGCCACGGCTTGCCTTGTTAATTTGTTCCACACATCTGCAGAACAATTTTGACAAGAACTCCCACTCATCAGGCAAATTCAAAAGACAAACACGTAGTACCATATAAAGATCTAAACTACAAAGATGTGTTCAAACCCCATACCTCTTTATGCCATCCAGCAATTCCTGATTGTGAGGATCATGCTTCAATCCCTCCTGGTATGTTTCCATTGCTTTGTCATACTCCTTCATGAAGAACTGGACAGCACCTTTTCTAGTATAACCCTTCACAAAGGTTGGATCAAGCTCAATGCACTTTTCCGCATCTTTTAGTCCTTCGGGCAACGCCCCTAGTTTTGTGTAACAAGCAGCCCTGTTACTATATGCCTGAAAGCAGCAGACAACAACAATTCAAAAGGGTTCAAATGCCCCATTATGTTAATGTAGGGAACAATTTTACATGGGCAATCAAACTCAAGAGAAGTTCTTACCTTTGGGTCTTTGGGATTCCGCCTCAAGGACTCTGTATAGTGCTTTATAGCCTCTGGGTACTTCTGTTCTTTGAAATACTCGTTTCCTAAACATGTTAAGGTTCGTATGTCAGTCACCTCATAGAAATATCAAATAAGGGAAGTGAGAAAATTTGGGCAAACCAACCCCCTACTAAAGAAGAGAAGTACCTTTCTCACGCTCCTCGTCAGCTAATTTTGGATCAAAGTACTCTTGTTGCTCCAGTTCTTTCTTTGCCTTCTCAGCATCATTGAGCTTCTTAAGAGTGTCAGGGTTGCGATGCTCTGTCAGAGCCTTCTGGAAAGTCTCAATAGCAGGTTCATATTCCTTGGAGGATTTTGCCATCTTCGCCAAGGCAGTTCCCTTTCTCGTCAAAGCCCTTGCAATCATCTTAAAGTCTGACCTAAGCTCTCTTCCTCTTTCAACAGCTTTATCACAATCTTTAATGCAGTCTTCAAACTGCAACAGGCCAAAAAGCATTGCATAATACATTACACAAGCAAAGCAGAAGCAACACTGCCATACGACACGAGCACACCCATTCAGTAATAATTGGTCACATCCTTTCATGACGACTATTTATAGCTAATGCAACCTTTTTCTTCAACCTTAACACAACAATGTATAGGCAATGCTATTTCAGACACAATATTACGAAGATCCCATTCCACACAACAATGCACACCATAACAATTACATGCCAGTACCATCTAAAAGCTATAGGTGCAACAATACACATGCAAACACCATTACACAAAAAAATACAAGTACCGATGTCCAATATAAGAATGCCATGCCATTAAGTGTTTAAACCTCCTATTGTCACTTTCCTTGCCAAATTAGATAAAAAATAGAAATTAAATTCTCATATTGATATAAAGCACCTGACATTTCCCTTCATAACCACCTGAAAGTCACTAACCATACTTAACAAAAAATTCTATGCTCAGAAACTAAATAAACGAAGGGAACAAAACGTTAAGGTACATCCCCAAAGTCTCTGCTGTTAGACTTAGACAGTCGTACATGTCGCATCATCAATGCAGATATCCCTACCAAACATAAACAATCCACCACACCATCTCCCCATACATATGCATATATGATTCTATATGTACCACATACACGTATAAATGTGCGTCAAGATCTGCTTATATTGACATAAAACATTTCATGTTTAGTCCCTGCACAACTCTACATACTACTTAATTATTTGAGGATGTAGATCATATGGCCACAAGAGTCAGCTCCACATGATATCTGGCCCCCAGTAAATGCATGTCTGATTCAATATAAAGCTAAGAGAAACATGGATTCCATCAAAAGTTAGGTATATGTAATTTGAACCTATCCTTACGTGTGTGTTTGTGTGTGCTCTCATAGCTGTAGTTTGAAACTATCCAACTGGGTTACAATAGGGTTAGGATTACAATTTGTCATCTCAGTCGTGGGTTGTCTGGACTCTGGGGCCTAGTATAACAATATGGGATCAAGGATTTGAGTGATTTAGGTTGTGATCCCAATCCATTAGAGGCCATGTGACCCCAGATTGTTGGACGTCCAAGGTACCTGCAATCCCAGTATCCAGATCCAATCCTCAAATACTGAATGACATTGTCAAAGAACACATAAATAAAGACAAGTGGCAGTAACCATTAAGAAAAAACCAATAAGGTAACAACAAAAAAAGCACCCCCATCACGTATATGGGCAGCAAGTGGATCACCCCCAATAACGTTTTAACCAGCTCTACCAACAGGTTAACACCAATCCCTTTTCTATTAGATTCAGCCAGGCTTTTGTTTAATAACAACTAGTCATCCGCAGCACAGAGCAAGTGTGAATCTCCATGCTTGGTTGGCATAACAAGATGGGAAATGACACCGATCATCATGTCTAGGGTTTTGCACAAGAACCATCAACTTCACAAATAAAAATCAAGATTTCCAAAGCTTGTAAAACATAAAAGTAGTACTGCAAATACCCTCAAAGAACTATACAAATATTAAGTCGCTGGTAAAGAATACAAATTATTCCTTAGTACAATCAATCGATTTTGCATCACCATTCCCTAGACTATCAACTACAGCTACAAAAAATGCAATATCTCCAATTTTAAATCATACTACTAATTGACTTGATGCCAAAAAAATCAGGAACCCAACAAACTAGGCATCATATACAGAAGCAGAAAAAAAGATCCAGCTATTTGCATTTGGAAACCAGATGCCAATTTATCCCAACAACAGAATGGCAATGCGTAAGTTCACATCTATGCATATCTGAATTAAACAAACAAATATAGGCATACTTTTGCACAACATGGTAAATAATTGGAACCATAATTCATTTCTTTATTACCACAAATCAAGATTATACTCAAATATCATGGTACAACAATTGTTCATACTAATCAGCAGAACCAGATCTACTCACTTTTAGCGCCAGCAAACTCTGTCAAGATCATATATAGTAATACAAGTACTATTTGCAACCACCACTAACCAACTTATCCAACTCAATTATACCAGATAATATTATACGTCACAAGAAATATAAATAACAAGTGACAAGTTTATCAATTCAAATTGAAGATAATTAAAGCAGTATGAAACAACTCATGCTAATCAAATAAGAAAACTTAAAAGAGCTACAAAATACCTTTCCCATTTCCAGGTATACAGCACCACGATTGGTGAGGAAAGAAATATCCTCATCATCCAGCTCAATGGCCTTAGTATAATGCTGAATGGCTGTTTCGAAATCCTTCTTCTTATACGCTGCATTCCCGGCCTCTTTCTCCTTCTGGGCCTGCGCTTTGTTTTCCTTAATCTCTCTCTCCTCTTCCGAAACCTCCGTAGGTGCAGGCTCCGGCTCTGGTTTCTTCTTCTGGTTCACCGTGGGCTCCGGCGGTGGGGGCGAGGGCGAAGAGTCCATCGGCATATCCGCATCCTCCGGTGTCCTTGTTTGTAATTTCACATTCAACAACACACCCAGAGCTTGCATTACCCTCTGATCCTTCAGATGGAGGTTCAGATTACTAGGGTTTCTCTGGATGTCCTGCATCATTTTGACGAAATCAGGTTGGTTGAGATAGCCACGAGTGGTTGGATCTCCGGCGAGTCTGGTCCACATCTGCGGCCCAGAAAAGACATCGCCAAACGGATTTGGCTGAGCAGGAGCGTTAGATCGGGATAAAGCATCCTGAGCATCGGAGAGGCCGGACTTGAGAGCTTCGTTGTGGGGGTCGATTTCGAGGCCTTTTTTGTATGCCGAAACGGCGTCTTCGTACTGGCGGAGGCCTAAGTTAGCAGCGCCGAGTCGAGAGTAGCCCTTGGACCAGTCGGGCTTAATCTCTACGGTCTTCTGGGCATCGGACAAAGCTTCAGTGAAATTGTTGAGAGAGGCATGAGCAGCGGATCGGTTGGAGTAGAGGACGTGGTTGGTGGGGGAAAGATCGATCGCCTCCGTGAAGTGGCGGATGGCTTCGGCGTAGTTGCCGGCGGCGAAAGCGGCGTTGCCTTTGGCCTTGGCTTCGTCGGCCATGTCGTCGTAGATTGAACTACGCAAATTCACTCTCTCTCTCTCTCTCTCTCTCTCTCTCTGGGAAGTTCGAGTAATGGAAAAGAGAGAAGAAGCTGGACGGTTTTTAGGAGGAGATTTGACGAGAAGGTTCTAGGTGTGCGAGGTGTTTCTGGAATCTTCTGGGGAGGGAAGGGAACGGATCAGACCAAGGAGTCTTTGGATAGTAGGTTAAAGTGGTTAACATCCATATCGATTGGCTAATAGAGCAGTGGATACTAGAAATTCTATGTCTGAAAAACGAAAATTAAGGGTGGATAAAAATCTCGGGTTCTGACCCGGATAATACGGTGTATTTTCAATCCCCTACACCGGTTAACTGTAACCCAGCCCCTCATGCGTTACAAACTCAACCAACTCCAACAAATGTAATAACATTTTTACTCTGCTTTTTTCCATTTCGTCAAACTACATCCTTGGCTGAGAGTGGAAATGTAATAACTCATATAAAATAAATATATATATTTAGATATTATTTTATTTTAGTGCATTAATTGCCTAGGAGTATATATATATATTAGTCTTTTTTAATTATTTTTATCCTTAAAAAAAATTAATATGTCCCTAATAAAAGTCTTGTCATAAAATGACTATTTTACATGTATTTTTAGGGTAATATTGTTGGATAGGTAAAATCCTATAACACCAAAGTAAGTGGCAGAAAACAAAGAAAAAAAAAAGTAAACAAGAGAGAGGGGAAGGAAAAGAGGAAAAGCAATAACGGTTGAATCCATTAAAAATGTGGATTGATTACTTGTCTTATGAGTTTTAATTTTTTATTCAATGAGATGGTATTGATTGCTTGTCTTATGAGTTTTATATTTTTATTTAATTAAATGGTGTAGGGTTTATATTGTTAGTATGTATCACCTCGTTGATTATGAAGGTTGTTAGGTTGAATTCTAAGTTTATAGTTGTTTGGAATTAATTAAGTTTAATCAATGTGTTGAAAAAAAAAAAGATAAAAGGGATTTCACTTGTTGAATTTACTAGAGAAAGAAATTGGAATGTGCGTTGGTAGAAGAAGACTAAATTCAAAAATTACAAAAACTCTTCATTAGTTATAAGAGATGTCATTATCACCCTTATATTTTTATAAACTCAATTTTGATCACTTTTTCACTTGGTAATTTGCAAAGATGATTTCAAAAAAGTTTTGATTTTGTTCCCAAAATTATGGTTTATTCATAATAACTCAAAACAAGGTTATATTATCAAAAATTAGTTTCTATAGCCTTAAATACTATTTTAGAAAATTTATTGGAGTCCTGAAAATAGAAAATTTATATTTTTAAGAAATTATACTTTGATTCCAAAAATTTTAAAAATTATGATTTTACCCCAAAATTTAAAAAAAAAATTTTTAAACTGCTCATATTACTTTCATACCCCATTAGCTCATATTAAAATATTATTTATATATAAAGGATATATAAAGTATATATCAATTGGTAGGAAATATAAAAATTAAATATAAATCGCGAAATGACGAAATTAGGAATAGGGATTGATCATGATATGTTATTTTGAATTAGGTGATGATTGCATTAAGGTTAAGAAAGAGGGTTTTGAATTGAATTTTGGGAATCAAAGTGAGCAGTTTACTACTTCTTTTTGAGAGAATTTTCTATATTAAATGTGTGAGTGCATGCGTGTAGATTTTTCATATATATGATATATGAAGATGTTTGGAGTTGCAATTAAATATTTTGAAATTGTGAATTGTTATATATGTGAATTTTCAAAACTTATGGGATAAATTTATATCATTACTTANAAATATTTTGAAATTGTGAATTGTTATATATGTGAATTTTCAAAACTTATGGGATAAATTTATATCATTACTTAGATGTGTTTTGGTAATGAAAGAGAGATTTTATATGCATTGGGACTAAAATGATAGTTTTGATGCGTGTTGAAATCATGTTTTATGAGACGGAGACTAGGTTACCAGGTATAAATGGTAACGAGATTGTATATCAGTGTGATCGGTATAGGGATGTGCACATAGGGGCCAGTCATCAGACTAGTGATGACAAGAGACGAAACTAATTATCAGGCTAGTGATAACAAGAGACAGAGTCAGTTATCAGGCTAGTGGTAACAAACATGATTTGATAAATGTATTTGAAACTGAATGTGTGTGTAAGTGTTTTGCGTTATAAATTTCTTTTCATTTATAAAATTATTTGTGAAAATGAGCAGGTGTTTTTGATTATAAATGTCTTTTCTTTTATAAAGTTATTTTTGATCATGAGATCACTTTGCTTAAACGATCATGTGAGAGGGGTTGAGATATAATTTGTTGTACTTATGTATGTATCAAAATTTATTTTTGTATATAAATTATGGAACTTATTTTTACACCTCATTAGTAGTGGCTGCTATTCACGAGGTCGTTGTGCTGATACAATAATTTAACATTTTTCATATGAAGATCAGGGTAAGAAGTAAGTTCACAGATAGAGAAAGGATTAGAGAACTTAGAGATTTATTTTACTATAGGTCTTTAGGAATAAATGTCTTTTATAGTTTTGAGGCAAATATTTAATTATTTTGAGAACAATGTTATTCATGTTTGAAGCAGTGAATCTTACGGTTTAATTATTATTTTACATGTGTTTGGTAATGATGTTGGTGATGTTTATTTTATTCCTCTGATATTCATTAGATTGATGAATTGAATCATTTTATTATTTGTCTTCCGCTGTATTTTACATTTATTATGCACATAGTTGGTTGGTTAAGTCCTTGGTGGTCGCTCAGTCACCCACCTTATGTAATTCGGGGTGGGGGTGTGACTGGAAAAGTTCACAAGCGACGGCGAAGCTTCTCTAGGTTGGAGGTACGTGTCTCTCTCTCTCTCTCTCTCTGTTGACGAAACAAATAAGCGAAGAGTTCACGGACAGATCTAGATCTGCATCTCTCGCATCCTTTTTTTGACGAATAGATCTGGATCTGTCTCTATACCTCTCTCCAAAAAGAAGTTAATAAGTCACTCTGAGGAACAGATCTCCCTCACACTCACTCACACATGGGTTATAGGGTTTTAATCAATTTCATTAATTGGGCAAATTGTTGTGGGTTTGAGTTTGATTACATTGATACACTGTGGTTAATTGCATGAAATGTACATGCAAAAAATTGAAGTTTGTTTTAAGTTGGCAATTACTAGCAATTTGAAACTTCACTGTGGTTAATATTTACTTCTATTGATTTCTTTTGTTACATACCTTGGATTCCCGGACATTGTGAATTCCTAGCAGCTTGAAACTTCACTTTATTGCATTTGGTGGGCATGCAATATAAGAAGTGAGTTCTACTGAATTGATTTACACTGTAGATGATGTATAATAGTAATTTTTTTAGGCGTAGGATCTCTAGTATCAATAGCATATATGCAGTAGAAGTATGTCTGAGTAGATTTCATGTGCTATATATAGAGCTTCCATACAGACTGAAAATTCAGAGACAAACAATACATTTGATTCTAGCTAGTTCTAAGCCAAATTTATATATGTTGGAAACTGCTTTTAATGTGTTTTCAGAAACCTGAGTTTAGTTTCATGTATTTATTGATGGTTTGATTATTTGATAAATGAACTAGTTGTTAACAACCAGATTGAAGTTCTGAATCAGAAAATCAGAGTCTGGATTTCCATTACCTTCAGACTTGTAGCTAAATTAGCCTTCTATGTTCCTCTTGTATTATTTTCCTTTCTTCCTTGATGACTGTTGGAACATATGTATGGTAATTATAAGGGTGAATGTAAGGTCAACTTATTTTCCAGTGATCTCTGAGTTATTAACTAGTGCCATATACGCAGTTTGCTTACCATTGATGTCATGTAGAGCCCTCTTGGACTATAACAAGCTCAGGCATTTTTTCTTTGCATTCGGGGTGGGATGCTATTGCAAATTTCATGGGTGGAAAGCTTATGAATTTCTTTTTTCATTTGATGAATTTTCATTTTTCATTTCATTACTTTATGATCATGATGTATTTAGATTCATGTTTACGGGTAAGGTTTATGTCCCCCAATTAGGTGTAATATTTGATTTGGAATTAATAATAATTTATCCTCGTATTGTGGAGGTTTAATTTATGAGAGAGAGAGAGAGAGGTTTACGGGTAGAATGGTAAACTTTTATAGAAGAAATGATATAATCCATGGAGTCCACAAAATTATACTTTTGTTTCCCAAACAATGGTCTGAACTGAATATAATTCCTAACCCATCTAATTTAAGTGACCGAGTGAGTTTGGATCGTATGAATTCAGATATGATAAAAAAATCATAACTTATCCAAACACACCCCTGTTGACGAGCGTGTGTGAGATGTGGGAATAAGGAGGAGATGTTTGGCCACGATGATTGGGCAGGGTCATCCTCGCGCTGGACATGTATCTGCAAATGGCATTTTGTTATTTCCTTTTCAACTCTTTAAGGGTAAATTACACTTTGATCCCCTAAACTATGAACTCAATTCCACATTGTGCTTTAAACTATTGAATTTTTCATATTATCTCATCAATTACTTGAATTATTTTGTATTGCATCAATAAATGTCTTTTATTTTTCTTGATGAAATTGTTGATGTGTCAAGATAAAATGAAAAATTTCAAAATGAAAGGAATCCGAAAGATATGGAACATAACTACTACTCAGAAGATGAAACCAAACTCGGAATTTTTATCATGTTAGACCTAAAAAAGCTATTTTCTTATTGTTAACAATTATAGGGAAAATTTACATAAATATCAATTTCTAAATAAAAGGAGGCCAAACGAAATAAAATAGAATTACAACATCCCGAGGCTTACCCAAATCGTATCTCAAACTTAAATTTGAGTCAACATGCTAAAAATAAATTTTAATCATTTATTCAAATATANTTTTTGACGAATAGATCTGGATCTGTCTCTATACCTCTCTCCAAAAAGAGGTTAATAAGTCACTCTGAGGAACAGATCTCCCTCACACTCACTCACACATGGGTTATAGGGTTTTAATCAATTTCATTAATTGGGCAAATTGTTGTGGGTTTGAGTTTGATTACATTGATAC